AATATCGCTCGAGAAAAAGTGCGAAAATATGACTGAAAATGTTCAGCAGATAGCGAGCTTCATGGCTTTGTCTTTAAAATCTAACAACACGGATCTTACTCTACAGCAAAACCCTCAGAGCTCTGTCCCTAAGTCGAAGGCTAAAGTCAGGCTTGCAAACCGCCCGACGGTATCTGTGCCATCTACTCCGACAGTTAATAACCCTTTAAGTAGGCGAGACACATCCAGAGTGGCTGATAACTCATCACTAGACGCCATATCGCACGAGTTGGTCAAGACACAGAAACCGACAGTACAGAGTCGGGTAACATACGCATTGATTGCCTCGATAAAAACGCCTAAAGAGACACCCGTATGTCCATTTTCTTGATCAAGTACGAGCGATGTGACGCCTTTGTCACATCGTTCTTTAGTGCCCGCCAAACAATCAAAGTTACCAGCCACAACACTCGAACCAACGTTCGTTAACCAGAACCACAGTGCATAGACGGCCATGTGCACTAATGTTCCTGAGTCCAGTTCTGGCACAATAATGGGCAATTTGATCGATGATCGCCAAAGGTGGCATTCCATCTGCGATGCGATTGGTATTCGGGTTGACCCAATTGGGCTACGACGCATAGCACGTCACCCAAATTCAGTGCACTACGGCGAACCCCGATTTCTTCGAGTAACCTTGAATTCAACTGTGGAGACAGAGATAGTCCTACTCTCAGCAGTTCATCTTCGCAACTCATCTAGCTGGGTACGCATATTACCCGATATTCCTTGGAAAGAACGTTTAAAAAAAAGAAAACCATGGCGACCGTTATACGAACGAAAGCAAAAGCACGTATTTGTTCATGGTGTTCTTGAACTACTTTGCTCTCCTGAGCACGAAGCGTAACAGCGTGACCGAGAGCAGTGGTGCTACATCCGCTAAGCACTCTCTTTGGACAACGTTATCGCTAAATCACTCTTTCTTTCATTCCTCTTTCTTTCTTTCATTCATTCTTCATCTCCAAACCGCAAGGGTAGCGGACCAAAAATATTGAAAGTCGTGCTACACTCGTTGGAATGACCGAAGTCCTATTGGATAGCCGATTAAAGCATCGCTAATTGTGGCTTACCGAGATTATGCTAAAGATAGCAGGCGCAAAATCACTAGTTGTCAACATTTTATTGGAACAGTCAATCTAAGTAAAATATTTGCCTCGACAACCCTGCAGATTTGTAGACAATATGGGATTAGGGATACCTGATGGGACAGGGAGACACACGAAGGAATATCTCGATTTGGGATGCTCCATGCTACCATGCAGCCTGCCAAAATCCAGGAACCAAAGACTCACGGAAAAGCAATTGGCTACAGATCGTCGAACGGTCGATTTAAAACTAAACACGAATTTCTTGTCCACCCACAAATATTTGACAGCAAAATCACCAGCATGTTTGTATACTAACGTCCAATGTTTTCTTAGTAAGTTGGCCGAACTTAGAGAACGCCAGGCGTCACAAGCGCAGAATTTCATTATGAATACCGAGACGTGGTTAAGCCTTGAGATAGCAGATTCTGGAGTCAGTTTATCTAGTATGACACGGCTTCCCAATGACAGAGCTGGAAGAGGTAGTGATGTAATTCTGTATTACAAGACCAAGCTCCGATGTGAACTAATTGACCACCCAGAGATCAGTGCCCCAGATTCGCTTTGGTGCCGGCTATATTTGCCCAACGAAGACACATGTCTTATACCTGTGATTTACCATCCACCAAACTCAACGTGTGAAATGAATTCTAAATTAAACCACGTTCTTCAGGTTGCTTTTAACAAGACATACACTCACATTCTCATAGCAGGCGAATTTAATATGTACCGTCTAGAAATAACGGCGTCCGATAGCACGCAGTTCAAAGCCTGTTTGCAAGAGGTAATTTCCAGCTACCGTCTGTACAACCACGTGACCACTCCCACCAGATTTGGAACTGCTAACAAGACCTCGATACTTGACCATTGGCTCACCAACGAAGAACTCATGGTGAACAAAATAACTATAAGCACACCACTGGGGCGCAGTGACCATGTCACTCTACGGTCTAACTATATACGCCATGTGAAATATCCTGAGGAAGAAGATGAGAAAGTATATACGGTCGCGCACTTCAACCTGCTATCCGCGCTTGTTTTGGAGGTATCTTGACCCTGCTTATTCGAATGCCCCCAGAAATCGCCTGGGACACTTTCGCAAGGACATTCACGATGCTGCTAAAGCACGCGTCTGAGCAGAAATCCTTCCATCGTCAAAGGAGAAGGATGTCCTCTCTGCGGAGCAGAACACGCAAATGCATGTCCTTGAGGAACTCAGCATGGAGGCGGATTTTGAGCAGTTCTCCGAGCTGGATAATTATTTTGCAGACGTTTCGTTGCTTGACTAGGCAACATCATCAGTGCGGCTTCAGGGGCCTGGTTCGAAGTGTCTCGTAAGCGACTTCAATGTCCAAGTGCTTATTGATCGAGTTCTCTTTTGAATGCCAGGCTTCAATGAATTCACGTGCTTGCCGGCTTTTAGCCCTTCCGAGGATACTGGCGTGCTCTAGGTCGAATTGATGGTTTTCAGCATCCATATGCACTGACATCAGGGAGTTCTGGTCGTGGCGACGTATGGCTAGGCGGTGTTCGTGTAGCCTTGTGCCAAGCTTCCTCCTAGTCTGTCCCACGTAGTATTTGTCGCAGTTACGGCAGCAGATCTTATAAATCACACCAGTTTCTTCTTCTTTGCTAAGTTTATCTTTTACTTTGAAGAGTTTACTGCGAATTGTTTCTGTTGGCTGGTGTGCAACTTTGACTCCAAAAGGCAATAAAAGCCTCGCTGCCATTTCAGAGATACCGCTGATATAGGGCAGTGTTGTTCTCTTTTCAGTTGTTGCATTCGTCGAGGTGTCTCGAGCAACCTTTCCTGGTACGAGGCAGCGTAGAATGAAGCCTTTTGGGTACGAGTTCCGCTTGAACAGATTGAAGAGATGAT